GTGAGGAAGTCGGCGAGGGAGTCGGTGAGTGGGTGGGTGAGTGAGTGGGCGACTTTGTGGGGGAGTGAGAGAGTGGATGAGAGAGCAGATGAGTGAGTGGGTGAGTGGGTGGGTGAGTGGTTGAGTGAGTAGGTGAGTGGATTGGTGAGTGAGTGAGTGTGTGGGTGAGTATCTGGGTGAGTTGGTGGGTGAGTAGATGGGTCAGTGAGTGAGTTGGTGGGTGAGGGAGTGGGTAAGTGAGGGAGCGGGTGAGTGGGTGGGTGAGTGGTTGAGTGAGTGGGTGAGTGGTAGAGTGAGTAGGTGAGTGAGTAGGTGAGTGGGTGAGTGAGTGGGTGAGTGAGTGGGTGAGTGAGTGAGTGGGTGAGTGAGTGGGTGAGTGAGTGGGGGAGTGAGAGAATGGATGAAAGAGCGGATGAGTGCGTGGGTGAGTGGCTAGGTGAGTGAATGGGTGAGGGAGTGGGTCAGTGAGTGGGTGGGTGAGGAAGTGGGTGAGTTTGTGGGGGAGTGAGAAAGTGGATGAGAGAGTGGATGAGTGAGTGGGTGAGTGGGTGGATGAGTGAGTGGGTGAGTGAGTGGGTTAGGAAGTCGGCGAGGGAGTCGGTGAGTGGGTGCGTGAGTGAGTGGGTGAGTTTGTGGGGGAGTGAGAAAGTGGATGAGAGAGCGGATGAGTGAGTGGGTGAGTGGCTAGGTGAGTGAGTGGGTGAGGAAGTGGGTGAGTGAGGGAGTAGGTGCGTGAGTGGCTGGGTGAGAGAGTCGGTGAGTGGGTGGGTGGGTGAGTGGGTGGATGAGTGGGTGGGTGAGTGGTTGAGTGGGTGGTTGAATGGTTGAGTGGGTGAGTGGATGGGTGGATGGGTGAGTGGGTGGGTGAGGGTGTGGATGATGGAATGGTTGGATGAGTGAGTGGGTGAGTGGCTAGGTGAGTGAGTGGGTGAGGGAGTGGGTCAGTGAGTGGGTGGGTGAGGAAGTGGGTGAGTGGGTGAGTGAGTGGGTGACTGAGTGGGTGACTGAGTGGGGGAGTGAGAGAGTGGATGAGTGAGTGGGTAGATGAGTGAGTGGTTGAGGGAGTGGGTGACTGAGTGGGTGGGTGAGTAGTTGAGTGGGTGTGTGAGTGAGTTCATGAGTCGCTGGGTGAGTAGGTGAGTGAGTCGGTGAGTGGGTGGGTGAGTGAGTCGGTGGGTGAGTGGGTGAGAGCATGGGTGAGAGGGTGGGTGAGTGAGTGGGTGGGTGAGGGAGTACGTGAGCGAGTGGGTGAATGAGTAGGTGAGTGGATGAGTGAGTAGTTGAGTGAGTAGGTGAGTGGATTGGTGAGTGAGTGAGTGTGTGGGTGAGTATCTGGGTGAGTTGGTGGGTGAGTAGATGGGTCAGTGAGTGAGTTGGTGGGTGAGGGAGTGGGTAAGTGAGGGAGCGGGTGAGTGGGTGGGTGAGTGGTTGAGTGAGTGGGTGAGTGGTTGAGTGAGTAGGTGAGTGAGCAGGTGAGTGAATGAGTGAGTGGGTGAGTGAGTGGGTGAGTGAGTGGGTGAGTGAGTGAGTGAGTGGGTGAGTGAGTGAGTGGGTGAGTGAGTGGGGGAGTGAGAGAATGGATGAGAGAGCGGATGAGTGAGTGGGTGAGTGGCTAGGTGAGTGAGTGGGTGAGGGAGTGGGTCAGTGAGTGGGTGAGGAAGTGGGTGAGTTTGTGGGGGTGTGAGAAAGTGGATGAGAGAGCGGATGAGTGAGTGGGTGAGTGGCTAGGTGAGTGAGTGGGTGACTGAGTGGGTGAGGAAGTCGGCGAGGGAGTCGGTGAGTGGGTGGGTGAGTGAGTGGGCGAGTTTGTGGGGGAGTGAGGGAGTGGATGAGAGAGCGGATGAGTGAGTGGGTGAGTGGCTAGGTGAGTGAGTGGGTGAGGAAGTGGGTGAGTGAGGGAGTAGGTGCGTGAGTGGCTGGGTGAGAGAGTCGGTGAGTGGGTGGGTGGGTGAGTGGGTGGATGAGTGGGTGGGTGAGTGGTTGAGTGGGTGGTTGAATGGGTGAGTGGGTGAGTGGGTGGGTGGGTGAGTGGGTGGGTGAAGGTGTGGATGATGGAATGGTTGGATAAGTGAGTGGGTGAGTGGCTAGGTGAGTGAGTGGGTGAGGGAGTGGGTCAGTGAGTGGGTGGGTGAGGAAGTGGGTGAGTGGGTGAGTGAGTGGGTGACTGAGTGGGTGACTGAGTGGGGGAGTGAGAGAGTGGATGAATGAGTGGGTAGATGAATGAGTGGTTGAGGGAGTGGGTGACTGAGTGGGTGGGTGAGTAGTTGAGTGGGTGTGTGAGTGAGTTCGTGAGTCGCTGGGTGAGTAGGTGAGTGAGACGGTGAGTGGGTGGGTGAGTCGGTGGGTGAGTGGGTGAGAGCATGGGTGAGAGGGTGGGTGAGTGAGTGGGTGGGTGAGGGAGTACGTGAGCGAGTGGGTGAATGAGTAGGTGAGTGGATGAGTGAGTAGTTGAGTGAGTAGGTGAGTGGATTGGTGAGTGAGTGAGTGTGTGGGTGAGTATCTGGGTGAGTTGGTGGGTGAGTAGATGGGTCAGTGAGTGAGTTGGTGGGTGAGGGAGTGGGTAAGTGAGGGAGCGGGTGAGTGGGTGGGTGAGTGGTTGAGTGAGTGGGTGAGTGGTTGAGTGAGTAGGTGAGTGAGTGGGTGAGTGAGTGAGTGAGTGGGTGAGTGAGTGGGTGAGTGAGTGGGTGAGTGAGTGAGTGAGTGGGTGAGTGAGTGGGTGAGTGAGTGGGGGAGTGAGATAATGGATGAGAGGGTGGATGAATGAGTGGGTGGGTAGGTGAGTGGGTGAGTGAGTGGGTGGGTGAGGGAGTCGTTGAAGGAGTCGGTGACTGAGTGGGTGGGTGAGTAGTTGAGTGGGTGTGTGAGTGAGTTCGTAAGTGGCTGAGTGAGTAAGTGAGTCGGTGAGTGGGTGGGTGAGTGAGTCGGTGAGTGGGTGGGTGAGTGATTCTGTGAGTGGGTGAGTGAGTGGGTGGATGAGAGAGTGGATGAGTGGGTGGGTGCGTGGGTGAGTGGGTGGTTGAATGGGTAAGCAGGTGAGTGAGCGGGTGAGAGCATGGGTGAGCGAGTGGGTGGGTGAGTAGGTGGGTGATGGAGTGGGTGAATGAGTTGGTGAGTGGATTGGTGAGTGAGTGTGTGGGTGAGTGGGTAGGTGAGTGTATGGGTCAGTGAGTGAGTTGGTGGGTGAGGGAGTGGATAAGTGAGTGGGTGGGTGAGGGAGTGGGCGATTGGGGGGGTGATGGAGTGGGCGAATGAGTGTGTGGGTGAGTGGGTGGGTATGTCAGTGTGTGAGCAAACCTGTCAACACCTTATCAGTGCCTACCTTTTTACAGGCCAATTCAGACCTTCTTCGTCCCACCACAAGGGAGAACCACAAACAAATAGACCCATTTTTGCACCTTGTAGTGACTGTGCTTGTCACTAGAGGGTGCCATAGCTTGCAAAGCTACGGCCGGTGATGTGTTGTCATTACGGGCAGCCCGGGTCACGGGATGTAGTACCGCCGGCCCTAGCGGTGCTTGGGCGAGCGCTGGTCAGTGCAGAGGCACCGCGTAGAGTGTGCGGTGCGGGCTCCCGGTGAGGGAGCGAGAGGGAGCCAGGGTTACCTTGGGGCACGATACGCCGGTGGACCTGCCGACACGCGACCGGACAATATTGGAGGAGGGGCCACCGGCGGGCGGGGCCTGCGGGGCGGTCACGTGGTCCACAGGAGCTCCCGGGAACCTTCAAGAAGGAGCCCGAGAGAGGCCTGGAAGGTGGGCGTGGTTTTCTTTCTTGTGCCAGTGTGAAGAAGATCCTCGTCGGGGAGAAGAAGAAGAAGCCTCTAGCCACGCGGTCCGGGACCCGGCTCGTGGTCCGGACCGGGATAGCGAACCGTGTCTAGTTCTGCCCCCAGCGTGGCCTAGACGGGCATTCGAGACCCCGGGTGTAGATCACGCTGCGTTGCGTGTTAGCGCGTTACTAGTAGTGTCGCTCCCAAGATAACGTCTGCGACTCAGTTGGGCTCACCGCACGCGCATCGAAACGGCTGTACGCCGTATGTACCTGAAATCTCAAATTTCCCTGCACAAGAATCCGGGGTGAGCCGTATGGGTTGACAGCTATGGGTGATTTTCCTGGGTCTTTCGCTTAAGTCACGTAGATAGGTTCTGTTTACGTGGCAACCATTGCTAGGTTGGCTGTTTTAACGACGCGTTTACATATTTACGCGATTCTAACCCCAAAGCAACAACAACAACAACAAAAAACCTCTATCACGGATGATATTGGTCGCGAAAGCCTACGCGTTAGAGCGATTGGTTAACGCTGTAAAAAATATTGCTGTACCCTCACATAGTGGGTGTATATAGGGGGGGGGCGGGGGGGGGGGGCTTCTAAATGGACAATGCTGAAGAGCCATGAACCACCCACCTGGGAACAATAGCCCACAGTGACGCCTAGGGGCCATCCATAAATGACGTCACGCGATTTTGAACGATTTTTGACTCCCCCTCCCCCCCCCCCCCCTTCGTCACGCGGCGTCACAAAAAGTCAGACCCCCCCCCCTCAAATATGACGTCACAAAGCTCTTCCCCCCCCCCAAAAAAATATATAAAACATGCTTCAAATCGCTTTAAAACTATTGTCATTGCAGTTGCGTAGTTAATGTGGCGCTGCAGGTCGTGTCGGCCTTGCTAACAGCTCCTATCCCAACAGTCTGTTCAGGCTATTTGGGGGGATCATTGTCATTTGGTGGGTTGTGGATGGGTACACGTTGTGTGGGCTGGTTGGGCTGGGTGGGCTGTGTATTCATTCACTGTCTTGTCGAATTGTTTCCCGACGTCTCTGGGAATCCGTTGGTTATTGATTCCAATGCCCCGCATAGCAATCTCAACAATGGAGCAAGTTTCGAAAATGTATTTATTACAATCGTTATGTTACCAGGTGAGGCCCTCTGAACTGTATAGCTCTTTTTCAGAAGTGACCTGGCAATCACAAATGGTAACCCAACGAAGTGGCGCATCATGTGGAAGGAAATGTATTGCAGCCAAATACTCCCAAAAAAAAGCAACACTTTTCTCAATTTGGAGGGTAAGCCGGAGTCCCCACGAGAAAAATCCACGCGACCACGTTGAGAGAGAACTCCAAACATAGAGAGAGCAGTCATCAGGGTCTGCGTGGAACCCCGCGACCTCCTGCATACCAGGCGAGGTAATTGACAACATGAGCCACCGTGGCACACCCTGGATCGTTCAGGATCCCCTCCCGCTCCACACGCAAGCAAGGGAACAAGTAGGGCTAGTTTTTATTGCTCCCGGTGAGACAGCGCCTCGGTGGACTTGTCAGCAGACACGCGCGTCTCGGTGTTAGCTTAAAAATGCAAGGACACCACCACATGACATTTTCGACATCAGTTTGCGACCACGGCGACAGGGTTTCTTAAATGCAAGTGCTCGCGAACTACCACAGTCCCATTATTCTACCTTGACCAGTCCTCCCGCGCTCGAATACAAATGAGGGTGCTTGCCCGCATGAGCCCGATGATCGGTAACAAAAAACATGCCCGGCGTGATGTAGATAGCGCGAACCATTCCAATCATCAGGAGCGTGCGGTTTGTTCACCGTCTGATTTGCGTTTGAGTTGGGGAGGTGACTTAAACAAATGCGGCGAGAACGAGGCCAATCCAAAACAGACTCAATTACGAGCCGGACGTGATGACTCGGCAGTGAGCAGAGAAACCGTGCTGATCGAAACACACGGAGAAAAAAATTATCCGGTCTGACTGCAATTACTTCTCACTTTCTAATGGTGATGCTTCTTTCCATCCTTCTTGCCGTGCTTTCCCTCCCCGCCATGCTCCTCGGATGAGGAGCTATCCCCGTGTTTCTCCTTCTTCTTCTTCTCGGGCACGGGAGGGGGGCTCATGACCCTGCCGACAAAGAGCAGAGCGCCCGTCTCGTCGTCTCTGATGAGGAAGACGAACGGTCTGTCCACCTTCAGCTCCTCGGAATGCTGCACGGACATGAGGCTGATCATGATCCCCGTGGCGGCCGTGGCCTTGACTCCCTCCTCGTTGAGGGTCATGGTGGCACGGTGGATGACCTTGGAGACACGGAGAGGAATGTCCGAGATCTTGCTGAGGTCCGGAGTCTTGAAGAGATCTCCAAGACCTGGGTCATGGGTGGGTGGGAGGGAGGGAGGGAGGAGGCACACAGAGAGGGGTCAGAAGCTTTCAGGGAAAAATTTAGGATCCATTTTCATCATCATCATCCTCTACACCTCCGGTCTTTGGCTAACGTTTTCCCCTCGCCTGCTTATCCCTTATCTTCCCCCCTTTATTCAGTTCGTTACGGGCGTGTTTTCGCTCAAACGGCGTCCTTTGCAAGAGCGTTTGAGATCTCATGAGTGAAGACAGATTCGTAAAGACCGGAAAAGGGGACAGAAGTTTTAAGTAAACAATTGAGGGTCCAACATCAACATCATCATCATCATCTCCACCATCAACATCGTCGTAGTCGTCGTCGTGAGGTTTTAATCTCAACAACACCTTTCCCTTATAAGGCGCTAAATTAAGCAAGCAAACATAAGACTTAGGGAGAGTGTGGAAAGTTACCATTGGAAAATATAGATTCATCATAATTCAATAATTAAGCGCACGCATTTGTATCGAGCTCGAGTTTTTTTCTTTTTCGTTCACTCTCAAGAGAGAGAGGGAGACACCGAATGATTCATAGGAGCGGGAAAACCACAGATAGGTGGGAAGTAGTCAGAAGCAGAACTGGAAACAACGATTAACTCAGCTCTGTGGCCCTAAACTCATGGGCGGAGTTTGTTTGAGAATGGGAGGCACGGCGGGGGGGGGGGGGGGGCAACGCCACCCCCACTCCATTCCCAAACGGGACACCTATAAACATTGCTTTTCAGTAGTTTACAATTAAGATTATAAGTAGATTATATGCACCCGCGATCCTTAATGTGAGGAGACAAAGCGAACCCCCTGCCTGCACCCCCAAGTATTGAAGTCAAACTCTGCCTTTGCCGAGAACAAACTAAAACTAAACCATTTTCCATGTTACCAGGGTGTCATGCCCCCACGGAGCTGCTTTTTAGCTTTGTTTCAGAAGCGACTCTAGCCATCACAAATGATAGCAGTGGCTCATCATCATCATCATCGTCGTCGTCGTAATTCTAAACGCGTGACGTTGATTCTAAATGTGGAGGTGAAAACCCGGAGGGACCCGCAGAGAAACCCACGCAGTGACCTCCACGGGAAGAGATGGAGGTCATGCTGAGTCCACTTAGGAGCGCTCCGATTGGCCGAGGTTGGCGGCCGCGTAATACCGTGAACATATCGTTCAAACAAAATATCGTGGGACCAATACTGGGAAAATTTCGATTTAAAGCTTTCGTGACTGCAAGGATTCATCTTCTTTGGTTGGAGCGAACAAAAGCGCTGCCCTCCAGACAGTCTCGTCCCTTCACCTGATGAAGGCCGCTTGTGTTGTGGCCGAAACGTCGTGATAATTTTATTGTGTTATTTTATTTGATCAATTTATTATTTTATTCTCATTCTACGTGACTTTACCGAAAGAACCAAAGAAGATCAATACTGAGAAATCAACTAAAAATGTCTCAATTGATATTACTCATAGCAACGTATGTATGCACACCGAGCTTCTTTCGCACCGAACGTAGCCAACCGTGCCAATTGGAGGTGCGGGGAGAAGGACAACAAAGAAAACATGAAAAAGCAGTTCTAAAGAAATGAGATTTAAATGCAGATGATTGAAAAGTGCATGGCTCCAGTGGCTTCCTAATGCCATGAGGAAGAGCGCTCCAGACGGCCGCAGAAGCTGCGCATCTGAAAGCGCGGGACGCGGTTGACCGGTCTGTGTTCGGCGATTCGCTAAAAGGTGCCGCTTGCGAGGATGGATCGGAGTTTTTGCGTGAACAGCTTGCGATCTGGCAGAGGCTGCAAAAAAGAAAACCGCCCAGATTCAGGTTTGGAAAAAGTCTCAAACCCAGGACCTCACCGATGTCCGTCAGCGTCTGCTCGAGGTTGCTCTCGACGTCCAAGGAGATGAGGGGCAGATACAGGTCGATCTTCTTCTGCACGAGCGTCTCCTCCACCAGCGTGGTCACGAGCTGGGAGGAGAGCGACGACTCCAACGCGGACAGATTGGTGCTCACCGCGTCAGGGACGAACAGAAGCAGACTCGTGTTGCCCTGGAACTGAATTTGGGCGACCTGCGGGGTTTGGGGTGGGGGGGATCAGAATCGCCGGTGAGACGTTGAAAAGATCGCTTCTGTTCGTGTGCGTGTGCGTATATATACGTGCGTTTGTGGGGAGTGATAGTGAGTTGTAGTTGTGGGGAGTGGTAGTGAGTTGTAGTTGTGGGGAGTGGTAGTGAGTTGTAGTTGTGGGGAGTGGTAGTGAGTTGTGGTTGTGGGGAGTGGTAGTGAGTTGTAGTTGTGGGGAGTGGTAGTGAGTTGTAGTTGTGGGGAGTGGTAGTGAGTTGTAGTTGTGGGGAGTGATAGTGAGTTGTAGTTGTGGGGAGTGATAGTGAGTTGTAGTTGTGGAGAGTGGTAGTGAGTTGTGGTTGTGGGGAGTGGTAGTGAGTTGTAGTTGTGGGGAGTGGTAGTGAGTTGTAGTTGTGGGGAGTGGTAGTGAGTTGTAGTTGTGGGGAGTGGTAGTGAGTTGTAGTTGTGTGGAGTGGTAGTGAGTTGTAGTTGTGGAGAGTGGTAGTGAGTTGTAGTTGTGGGGAGTGATAGTGAGTTGTAGTTGTGGGGAGTGGTAGTGAGTTGTAGTTGTGGGGAGTGGTAGTGAGTTGTAGTTGTGGGGAGTGGTAGTGAGTTGTAGTTGTGTGGAGTGGTAGTGAGTTGTAGTTGTGGAGAGTGGTAGTGAGTTGTAGTTGTGGGGAGTGATAGTGAGTTGTAGTTGTGGGGAGTGGTAGTGAGTTGTAGTTGTGGGGAGTGGTAGTGAGTTGTAATTGTGGGGAGTGATAGTGAGTTGTAGTTGTGGGGAGTGGTAGTGAGTTGTAGTTGTGGGGAGTGGTAGTGGGTTGTAGTTGTGGAGAGTGGTAGTGAGTTGTAGTTGTGGGGAGTGGTAGTGAGTTGCAGTTGTGGGGAGTGATAGTGAGTTGTAGTTGTGGCGAGTGGTAGTGAGTTGTAGTTGTGGAGAGTGGTAGTGGGTTGTAGTTGTGGGGAGTGGTAGTGGGTTGTAGTTGTGGGGAGTGGTAGTGAGTTGTAGTTGTGGAGAGTGGTAGTGAGTTGTAGTTGTGGGGAGTGGTAGTGAGTTGTAGTTGTGGGGAGTGGTAGTGAGTTGTAGTTGTGGGGAGTGGTAGTGAGTTGTAGTTGTGGGGAGTGGTAGTGAGTTGTAGTTGTGGGGAGTGATAGTGAGTTGTAGTTGTGGGGAGTGGTAGTGAGTTGTAGTTGTGGAGAGTGGCAGTGAGTTGTAGTTGTGGAGAGTGGTAGTGAGTTGTAGTTGTGTGGAGTGGTAGTGAGTTGTAGTTGTGGGGAGTGGTAGTGAGTTGTAGTTGTGGGGAGCGATAGTGAGTTGTAGTTGTGGGGAGTGATAGTGGGTTGTAGTTGTGGGGAGTGATAGTGAGTTGTCGTTGTGGGGAGTGGTAGTGAGTTGTAGTTGTGGGGAGTGGTAGTGAGTTGTAGTTGTGGAGAGTGGTAGTGAGTTGTAGTTGTGGGGAGTGGTAGTGAGTTGTAGTTGTGGGGAGTGGTAGTGAGTTGTGGTTGTGTGGAGTGATAGTGAGTTGTAGTTGTGGGGAGTGGTAGTGAGTTGTAGTTGTGGGGAGTGGTAGTGAGTTGTAGTTGTGGGGAGTGGTAGTGAGTTGTAGTTGTGGGGAGTGGTAGTGAGTTGTAGTTTGTGGTGATGGTGGTTGCGTAGGTTGTAGAATGTAGATGGTATGCTGGTGGTTGGGTGAGTTATGTTGGTGATTGTGTCGTGAGTGGTGGTGGGTTATGGGAGCAGTAGCGTGGCGGTTAGCGCTTTGCCGTGCTAGAAACCCGCCGACCGAAGTTAAATTCCCGCTCACTGCTGCCAATACCATTGACGAGTACATGAAGAGGTCCTGGGCCTCCACCCAGCCTCAAATGAGTATCTGGTGCAGTGTGTAAACAATGCCGCAAAGCATGCCGGCCTTCATAGGTGCTCATTAACAGTACTTGCCCAAGCAGTTTGGTCAAGGCTATTCTTACTGCACTTGTTCAGCCAGGAAGTCTCACTTCGTCTAAGTTTTTATGATAGTAATTACGCTTCCTTATCCCAGGAAAATTCTAGAAGGAAAATCCCCCCTTAACGCGTGGCATTCACAAGACGCGTTTTCCCTTGAACGCGGTTTTTGCTGTCGATGGAACGTTTGTCGTTCCGCGTGAGTATAGCACGTGACAGACTGAGTACTCGCTAGCATGGGACGGACTGACAGCCCACTGCAATGCAAGTCTAGCGTGGGACGGACTAACTACTCACTACAATGCAAGTCTAGCGTGGGACGGACTAACTACTCACTACAATGCAAGTCTAGCGTGGGACGGACTAACTACTCACTACAATGCAAGTCTAACGTGGGATGGACTGATTACTCACTATAATGCAAGTGTAACGTGGGACAGACTGACTACTCACTACAATGCAAGTCTAATGTGGGACGGACTGACTACTCACTATAATGCAAGTCTAACGTGGGATGGACTGATTACTCACTATAATGCAAGTGTAACGTGGGACGGACTGATTACTCACTATAATGCAAGTCTAGCGTGGGACGGACTGATTACTCACTATAATGCAAGTGTAACGTGGGACGGACTGACTACTCACTATAATGCAAGCGTAACGTGGGACGGAACGGCACCCCCACTTGAAAAGTAATCTGTACATTTCAAAGCGTAATGTGCGCGTGTGCGTGTGTGCGCGTATGTGCGTGTGTTTGCGAGTATCTCAGACCGTGACTGGCAGGCTGGGGTGTCTCCCCTTCTTTATGGGGTAACCACTGGCAAACATGGTGGGGACCTGCGTCTCATTGCTTGGGCTCAGGTGGAACGGCCTTGGACTCGTAGACTCAACCTGGAAGGGTTTCAGCCACTTTCCTGTCCAGATTAAGAGAGTGGTAAAGGGGGGTGGGGTCGAGGGGGGGGGGGGGGGACCAGGTCAGTCTTCGGAGTTACGTATACAGACAGGCCTCGACTTACAAACAGCCAACTTACGATCGTCTGCATTTACGAACCAGCTTCCATTAGAGATATATATTTTTAACATTGACTTAAAACGCGAATTCGCACTGGCAAACTGAACTGCGGTACTATTTTGTTCAGCGGAGCGATCCTCCTCGACATTTAATGAGTCAGCCTCGTGCATGTGTGTGTGTGTGTATTCCACCGTGTGTGTGTGTGTGTCTGTTTGTGGGGAGCCATAGTGCAATGGTGAGAAATCCGAGTTCAATTCCCGCTCACGACCAAAACCAGTGACGATTATCTCAATGGGTTTTGGGCCTCCCGACTCAGCTTCAAATGAGTACCTGGTGCGATGTGTGGAAGTGGACACTTGAGAGACAAAGGGCATGTTGCTGTCCACCCACCCCCTCGTGTGCTGTGCCGGCTTTGATTGGTGCACGCTAACAACACTTTCCCCCACAACCTGTCAAGGCTATACGGGGGATCTTTGTCTTGCGTGCGTGCATGTGTGTGTGTCTTGTGATCTCAGGCTGTGCTCGTGGGTTATGATAGCCAAGGCGGCCATTTTATCATCACAGGCTGTGCTCGTGGGTTATGATAGCCAAGGCGGCCATTTTGTCATCTCAGGCTGTGCTCGTGGTTTAATGATAGCCAAGGCGGCCATTTTGTCATCTCAGGCTGTGCTCGTGGTTTAATGATAGCCAAGGCGGCCATTTTGTCATCACAGGCTGTGCTCGTGGTTTATGATAGCCAAGGCGGCCATTTTGTCACTTCAGGCTGTGCTCGTGGGTTATGATAGCCAAGGTGGCCATTTTGTCATCTCGGGCTGTGCTCGTGGGTTATGATAGCCAAGGCGGCCATTTTGTCACTTCAGGCTGTGCTCGTGGGTTATGATAGCCAAGGTGGCCATTTTGTCATCACAGGCTGTGCTCGTGGTTTAATGATAGCCAAGGCGGCCATTTTGCTCCTCGGTCTGCCTTACCCTTGAAGAAAATGGCGCTCACGATAAAGAGCTGCAGTTCTTCGGGAAGCTCTTTGACGAAGTCTGGGATGTGTCCTTCCGTCTTTTCGGCCACCCACTTATTTATCAGTGCCACGTCTTCCTTCATGTTCCCGATCAATTTCTGCGGTTTGGCTTTGTAGTACTTCTCCACCGCGTCGAGGAATTGCTGCTTGATTGTGGCATCTGGTGGGCAACATTTTTGATTAAGAAACAACAACAACAGCAACAAGGCAAATAAAACCCGTCAAGTGAGTGCCCACGTTCTGGATGAACTTTGATTAAAACTCTGGACGAGAAGAAATTAGATCTCGTTCTGATTTCATGAGGCACTGCCATTATCTCTGAGCCATTATAAATCTTCACTTGTCTTACATGATACACACAAGGTCAGTGGAGAGCTTTAGCACAATGGTTAGTGCACTGTGTTACGAACCCTGCGAGTTGAGTTTTAATCCCTGTCATGGCTAGCATCAGTTGTGAGTGATATCTGAACTTGCCTGAATGGTGAAGTGTTAATGATCCAGCAATCCCCCATGGGGCCAACACTGTATTGGGAGGACTCATGCAGCAGTGGATTCAACAATGGCCAAATAATATAAGAGTAATCAGAAGAAGGCTCCTGCTTTCTAGTGGTTCTTTCTAGAGGCTTAACTCTTCACCCCCTTCACAAAAAAATATTTAGACGAATGTTAGATTCAGGGGAAAATAAACATTTATAGCCGAAGTTCAAAAGAGACAAATGGTAAAGATTTCGTTTCCAAGATGTTTGGCTTTGCAAGGACGGACTCCATTACACTTGTGCTACATCTGAGCTCTCTAAGCCCTTTTTAGAAAAAATGTTTCTAAATTAATTACAGCAGTCACTCACCCTTCTCGTCATTTGTGAGCATCATATCTATGCGAGACATTGGAGACCAGGCTGTGACCTTCAACTCCTTACGCTCGAGAACCCAGTTTAGTCACAGGGGGCTGAATCCACAGATTCTAACCCAATATCTCAGTGGTGGCAGCTGCGTTTCTGACTCCCGAACCTCCCGGACTTTGTAAGCGATTCCCACATCATCACTGACGTTTGGCGGTGAAGATGCGGGCAGCGATGTTGGTGCTGTCACGGCCATGGTGCAGTTTGGAGACCAGGGCTTGGAAAGAGGCCTGAGGATTCGGGTCACGGAGGAATTGGAGACGCAGGGCGTTGGTGAGCTGGGTCTCTGTCTTATCGCCCGAGCCTAAGAAGCTCAGAGAGAGCAGCACGAGGCGGGAAAAAGGAGAGAGTTCGGGGATTAGTTTCACAATAACGGTGGTTGCAGAGTGGGGGCTCAAATTAAATGTGAGCCAAAACAATTAAACCAGCATGAGTTCATTTAGCAGCACGCGCAAAGACGCACGTTGCATGTCCAGAGGCACCCGGCCTTGTCCAGACCACCAGCTCAAAATAACTTAATGCGTGGCCATTGTCGTACTTTAGAACCCCTGACCCATGGAGCTGAGAAAATGTGGCCTCCCAGCAGGCAGTGAAATAAACACAGAGCTGTCAGCAGAAAGCATCTTCACTAGGACCCATCGGTGCAATTTACTAATATAATGAGCCAAGAATGTCCGTGTGTCCCGCGCGTGACGTCACTCCACGCCGACCAGCCCCCCCTCATTAATAATCATTAGCAGGTTACGTCCCCCCCCCCCTCATTAATAATCATGAGCGGGTGACGTTACTCCACATCGAACAGCCTCCGTCATGAATAATTATCATGAATAGGTGACGTCCTCCAAATGGACACTCCCCCGCCATTAATAATAATTAGTGGCTGACGTCACTCCACATGGGGGGGGGGGGGGGGGTGCGAGGCGCCTCTTCCCTCCTCCTCAGCGTCAACTCACAACCCTCACTACAAAGGCAGAACCCTCACGTCACTCGATCTCACCCTCACTACAAAGGCAGAACCTTCACGTCACGTGATCTCCATCACGCTGTTGTTGAGACATCGAAGTAAAAAGGACGTCGTGATGTACAAGGGATTATAACCTTTAAATGAAATAGGTCTGTGTCACGGCGGCCTTACAAAATGCACACGAATCGTTGCGATGAATATATCACATCGCGGTCTGATTTTCGCTTGCAAGTTTCAGATTTACCGCAATACGCCCTTCCTTGGACGGGCAAAAGGGTAGTGTCTCAATATTCACTCCTACAGAATTCCACTGGGTGCCCCGTATATAGAGATGACTTAACTTCATACGAATGAGGACCCCGCTATCACTTGCCTAAAGGAAACAATAGTTGACATTTGTGAATATTGGTTTTCCAGCCTGTATCCTTTTTTTTCTGTTACGATGGAGTTTTTGTCATTTACAAATATAAATTGCAAGTTCACTCAATAATTTCGAGTGTGTGTGGCACGATATGTCTAAAGGAGGACTGAAATAAGACCCCCCCCTCCGTTTAAAATTGTGAAAGAAATAAAGTCTATTTCCTAGGTCGTGCAACTTACTAATTTGTGAAGTGTAAGATGATCTCGCTCAGGATGGTCAAGTAACGTACCGGTCAGCCCCTTAGCAGTGCCCTACCTTATTAAAGACCAACTGAAACCTGATTGGTCACCCCGTGCCCCATATAAATCTCAACGTTCATCCTACAAAGCCCCATCACAAGGGGAGAAACGCAAGCGAATAAACGTCTTTTGTGTGCCCGTATTGCAACGCCTTTACGCCGTATGGCCGTGAAGACGTGGCATGCTGTGCGTTAGTGGAGGTCTCAGTGTGCACGTGCTGTGGTGTGCACGTGCTGCTATGGTGGAGTGCGCACGTGCTGTGGTGGGAGTGTGCACGTGGTGTCAGGAGTGTGCACGTGCTGCTATGGTGGAGTGCGCACGTGCTGTGGTGGGAGTGTCCACGTGGTGTCAGGAGTGTGCACGTGCTGCTATGGTGGAGTGTGCACGTGCTGTGGTGGGAGTGTGCACGTGCTGCTATAGTGGAGTGTGCACGTGCTGTGGTGGGAGTGTGCACGTGCTATGGTGGGAGTGTGCACGTGCTGTGGTAGGAGTGTGCGCTGCTGCTATGGTGGAGTGTACACGTGCTGCCTGCAGGTCCCCTGGGGAAGTGCACAAATACATCTCTCGATCCTGTGGAAATCATCATGGGCCCAACGCAGCGTCTTTTTTCTCTGCATCATACCCGAGCACTGGGGCAATGTATATATATATTTTTTAAAATGTGTAGGGTCGAGTCTGGTTGCTATCTCATCAGTCTGGAAGGGCAACGCACGTGTCATAGCAATACAACTGGGAAACGTGCACGCTGCCTATACGACTCCACGTATAACTTGCCGGTGGACCAAGATCAAAATTACGAACAAAGATCGGTGGCTGAGAGCGACTTCGGTTGCTTTGCAAAGCGGAACGAAATGCAGCGTGAGAAACGAAGCGATGCCTTTACAGGGGGAAGATTTTCAATCGGTGCACTTTGCCTGTTAAAACGTGTACATGGAGAAGGAAACATGGAACAAGCTGTGATTAAGCGTGGAGTGATTCTGATGGAAAAGAGACAGAAAACTGGAACTCGTAGAGTAGAAATATCACGCAAGTCGTAGAGACCATATTCACTGTTAAGAACAATTAGTGGGCTTGGGGCAGGACACGTCAATGAAGCTTGTGCGGGGCCTGTAACATGTTATAAAGAAGCCCTAAATATATATATTTTTTTAAAAGCACTTCCATATTCAAACACATACATTTTAAACTTGCATAGTAAAGTATTTTTTCATTTGCTCTACAGCCAGATAATACAACAAATCGCTGGCCTTAAAAGCCCCAGTCGTTCATAAAAGTTGAAGGCGGTATAGTAATATAGTAATAGAGCAAGTGCAGAATCACTGAACCGGAATAGACAGCATGAAAGCATATTCTTGGTTCTTTCGGTAAAATCACGTAGAAAGGAAACAATAAAATAATAAAAATATGAAACAATAAAATTCTCACGACGTTTCGACTGCAACACAAGCAATCATCAGGTGTTAAAACCACAGCAAGAAAATTTGAAAAAAAGTGGCGGGTTTTATTTGACATTAGCACCACGGAGAGCGATTTGTCAGTTATTCAGATGGACGAGTCCATCGATGTTCGGAAAAGCGGAGGGGGGGAGACGAAAATAATGGATGTGGTCTGAAAGCCACCGTAAGCGTGAACAATCAATTAAGACCCGAAGTGGTTTATCAAATCCTTCCGATGATTGCTAAGCCAGAATCCATCTTCTCGGTTGAAATTGTCTCCGTGTGTTTGCAAACGTCGTGAGAATTTTATTGGTTGATATTTTTATTATTTCATTGTTTCCCTTCCACGCGGCGGTGACTTTTGCCGAAAGAACCAAGCACATGAATCCCTGCAGTCACGAAAGCTTCAAATCGAAGCTTGAAAGCATTTAGCAAGGGGGCCCTTGAAAGTCCGGCGGCCTTCGCAGCATTTTGCCACTACTTCTGCTACGCGGATCGTCCGGCACTGGTCATGGACAGAAGAAACCATGGCCAATGGTCGAGACTCCTCACGGAGTTGCAGCAGAAACAGGAAGGGCACCGCGAGGAGCCGCGCCCGTCATGGAGATGAGTCGAGGCGACACGGCTTCGTGCAGCAGGAGCTAAGCGGAACGTCAGCGTCGGCGCCGGCTTCGGGGAGGCATTCATCCAGCGGTGGGACTGAGCTCACGGGGGGAGCTTCCTCTCACCGGCCAGGAGCATCATGAGCGCCGCAGAGGTGGTGAGAGGCGAGAAGAGGACATTCTGGCCCGGTGAGGCCTCGCCAAGTTTGTGGAAGAATTGGAAGCCGAAGTCCCCCTGGGAACCCGCGAGGCGAGACACCACGAACGGAGAGATGGCCTGGGAGGGTGAGGGCGTGGAGAGAGGGGACCGTGAGGCGTAGTGAGTGTGTGGGGGACGGGGAGCAGCGGTGATGGTGAAGGTTATGAGTGCGGCGCTGATGGGTTTAAAATTGATGGTGGTGATGATTGAAAAAAATGATGATGATGATGATGATGGTTATGAGTGTGGTGCTGATGGATTCAAAATTGATGGTGGTGGTGATGTTTTTTTTTTTAATGTTGGTGAATCTGATTCTCAAAATGGCGATTGCTGGTGGTGGTGAAATTTAACTCCACAATTTCATGGCATGATGCAGTTTGCTCCGGACGCGACCTCTTACCGGCTTCGCCGAGACGGGAGGGGCGCCCTGTGAGGGGGCGGCGGGGAAAGGGAAGAGTGGGATCGTGAGGCGAGTCGTAGGATCCCATATTTATCCAAGAGGTCAAACGCCGGCTCGTTGCGACACGTGATGCATTGCCTCTTTCACAAGGGGCGACGTGATTTACATCAAGCCATTTAGAATGCAACAGAATTGTAAATGGTGTGGCTTGGCTCTCCAACACACAACCAGTGTGCTGTACTAGTATACTACACTATACACTACACTATATACTACACTACACACTACACTATACACTACACACTATACACTACACTATACACTACACTATACACTACACTATACACTACACTATACACTACACTAGTATACTACACTATACACTACACTATACACTACACTATATACTACACACTACACTATACACTACACTATACACTACACTACTATACACTGCACTGCTGGATGTATTTACCAGCGAAACGTCGTACTCAAACTGTAAATGTGGATTCACTCTTCAACACACCGGTGGGCTAAAGTAGTGAATTATTTGTCTTTTGTCAACGTGACACTTTTTTTTGCTGATTGGCTGTGTCGGGTGGTGGAGGGTTACGACACATTTATAAATAAACGCGATCTAACCCAAAAACCTTTATTATGAACTATACACTACACTATACACTACACTATATACTAATGCTATACTAGTGACGAATTGGCCACGTTCTGTTTACGTGCCAACCCTTACTAGTTGCCTGTGTCGGGTGGTGTCGGGTTTTAACGACACATTTATACATTCACGCGATCTGTCCCCCCCCCCCAAAAAAAAAAACCTCTATCATAAACAACATTGAATCTGACAAATGCCGCCCGTATCCATAATCTACAACGCGGTTGTTGCGTTCCTGAAGAGCACCACGTTATGGAAAATTGCGTTATAACAATGAATATGTGGTGAAAGCACAGTCGCCGATAGCTCGTGCGATGCGTACGCAGGCTGCGAGCAAAGACTGAGGCATGTGGGTAACATCGAGACTCATCCAGCAGCATCCCATCTTGTGCGATGGCGATGATGATGATGATGCTGCTACGCCGATGGCAGCCGTACAAATCGTTTATTCCTACTCGCGCGAGCTCGCTCCGTCCGCTCGATCGCCGTTACATCCAATTCGCATCCGCGTTATAACAAAACAAAAAAAACGTGTTCCCTAATACAGGGTAGTCCTCTACTTACGATGGAGATGTGTAAGTCGAAAATATTGTAAGTCGAAGATGGCCTTAGCCTACCCAGGAGTCTAAAAGAATGGTGATAATTTAACAAAACAGAGCAACTTACAGTACCGTACTGTATCAACTATATACTGTATGTATGTATTAATTAATAACAATGCTGTATTGCAAAGTAAAATGTAAAGTAAAAAAAACAAGGTTGAATTCTTAGCCCACCTATATGATTGCTTGTGTTTTTTTCAGGAAACAATCCTATCTGCTATATTAAAACAAAAAAAACTTTCAGCATGCATTGAACGTATCGTACCGTGGTAGCCCTGAAATGAAATCCCAACGTACAGCATCGTACCTGGTAACGCTGCCGCGTTTGCGTGCCACGCGAAATAAAAAAAATATTTTACAATTTTGTCGTGTCGCTATCGTAAGATCGGATTTATCGTAAGTCGGGGACCGTCGTAAGTCGGGGACTATCTGTGGATTCATTGTTTGACATCCAATTCGCGTGATGAAAACGACGCGTTATAGGAGAACAGACTTTTACGGGCTATGTCAATCACTAGTTTGCACGCTTGAGACGTTTAATGAAATGAAGCGTTATGGAAAGTAGATGGGGGGAGGGGGGGGAAGAGTTGGAAATAGACGATACTTCCTGAGATGTGGACAGATCATCTGGAGGCAGAGGAAGGGAAACGGGAAAACTAAAAAAATGTCCACACGAACGCATTTACGACGACCTCGGTGAGCCTTAGATTTTTTTTAAAAAAAGTAATATTTCCAAAAAACTTTTTTTTTAAAAAAATCACGCTTTAATGGAATGTACCGTACTAGTAATGGGCACAACTCCAGGGAGTGGCCTCGAAGCCTTTGGCACGACGCCAGGGGACCGCGTGGTGATTGACAGCCAACGTGAGTTGAGCGTGGACAATTAGACGCAAGCCGAAACATAACGTGTAACAAATGATGTGTTACAAATTATATTTTTTTTTTTACATTTTGCACGATAGAATCTAGTATTGTCATCGGTGTGACGTAAGTATACCAATTTTGCAGTCGATACCACATCGGAAAGCGGGTTAAAGCTGAGTTACAAGATTTGAAGATATGACAGCAGACAGAGTGAGTGAAATAAAAGCGTATAAAAGAAAATTTTTAAATCTATGTTTTTTTATTTTTTTTATGATATAATCTATTATTGTCATCGGTGTGACATAAGTATACCTTGTTTGCAGTCGATACCACATCGGGAAGCGGGTTAAAGCTGAGTTACAAGATTTGAAGATACAACGACGACAGACAGAGAGTGAGTGAAATAAAAGCGTATAAAAGAAAATTTTAAAATCTATGTTTTTTTATTTTTTTATGATATAATCTATTATTGTCATCGTTGTGACATAAGTATACCTTGTTTGCAGTCGATACCACATCGGGAAGTGGGTTAACATTGAGTTACAAGATTTGAAGATACAACGACAACAGACAGAGAGTGAGTGAAATAAAAGCGTATAAAAGAAAATTTTAAAATCTATGTTTTTTTATTTTTTATGATAGAATCTATTATTGTCATCGTTGTGACATAAGTATACCAATTTTGCAGTCGATACCACATCGGGAAGTGGGTAAAAATTGAGTTACAAGATTTGAAGATACGACAACAGAGTGGGTGAAATAAAAGCGTATAAAAGAAAATTTTAAAATCTATGTTTTTTTTCTTTTTTATGATAGAATCTAGTACTGTCATCGGTGTGACATAAGTATACCTTGTTTGCAGTCGATACCACATCGGGAAGCGGGTTAAAGCTGAGTTACAAGATTTGAAGATACAACGACAACAGACAGAGAGTGAGTGAAATAAAAGCGTGTAAAATAAATACATTCTTCGCAATCAGTTTCAGGTTTTGTAAGAATAATTACATTCACATTGTAGCTTTCAAACAAGGATCTCAAACCGCTGCACAGGACACAGCAGCGGCAACAGACACTCAGCAAAATAAAATAATGACGACATTATAAATACAATTTTTTTTATTAGAATCCATTCACGAAATAAAGCAAAAGTTTAATTGGCCGGAAGCGTATGAATAGGTTTTAAGACGCATTTTTTTTTTAAATGTCCACAAATTCGCGAGTTAGCTAAATAATAAATTCCATTTAAGCCTCAAAGTATTCGTCACTCTCGTAGAGACGGAGAGAGAGAGATCGACCGACTCAGAGGCGCTAAGAGGAAGGAGCCACAGGACGAGCGGGCGGGGCGGTAGCCACGTGATGAGCCGACGGCAACAATTGCCTAAGCTCTGCGGACCTCTATATGTTAAAGTTTGAGCGACCGATTGATACGTGTTTACATCCATAATAAAGGTTTTTGGGTTAGATCGTGTAAGTATGAATGTGTGGTAAACCCTCCACGACCCCGACATAGCCATTAAGGTTTGTCACGTAAACAATGCGCCAATTAGTTCACTACTTTAGCCCACCGGTGTGCTGGAGAGTAAATCTACGACATTTACAATTCTAATCCTGCACCTCCGATTATATCAGAGACTCACATAGACACCCATAGACTCATCACAGCGAGGCCCACAGACTCACACAGAGACTCACAGACTCACACAGAGAACCATAGACTCATCACACAGAGACCCACAGACTCACACAGAGACTCACAGACTCACACAGAGACCCACAGTCTCACACAAAGACCCACAGACTCACATAGACACCCATAGACTCATCACACAGAGACCCACAGACTCACACAGAGACTCACAGACTCACACAGAGACCCACAGACTCGCACAGAGACCCATAGACTCACCACACAGAGACCCACAGACTCCCACAGAGACCCACAGACTCGCCACACAGACCCACAGACTCGCACAGAGACCCACAGACTCACCACACAGAGACCCACAGACTCATCACACAGAGACCCACAGACTCACACAGTGATCCATAGACTCACACAGAGACTCACAGACTCACACAGAGACCCACAGACTCACACAGAGACCCATAGACTCATCACACAGAGACCCACAGACTCACACAGAGACCCACAGACTCGCACAGAGACCCACAGACTCACCACACAGAAAGCCATAGACTCACCACACAGAGACCCACAGACTCACCACACAGAGACACCCACAGACTCACCACACAGAGACCCATAGACTCACCACACAGAGACCCACAGACTCACCACACAGAGACACCCACAGACTCACCACACAGAGACACCCACAGACTCACCAGACAGAGACCCACAGACACACCACACAGAGACCCACAGACTCATCACACAGAGACCCATAGACTCACCACACAGAGACCCACAGACTCGTCACACAGAGACCCATAGACTCACCACACAGAGACCCACAGACTCACCACACAGAGACACCCACAGACTCACCACACAGAGACACCCACAGACTGACCACACAGAGACACCCACAGACTCACCACACAGAGACACCCACAGACTCACCACACAGAGACACCCACAGACTCACCACACAGAGACACCCACAGACTGACCACACAGAGACACCCACAGACTCACCACACAGAGACACCCACAGACTCACCATACAGAGACACCCACAGACTGACCACACAGAGACACCCACAGACTCACCACACAGAGACACCCACAGACTCACCACACAGAGACACCCACAGACTGACCACACAGAGACACCCACAGACTCACCACACAGAGACACCCACAGACTCACCACACAGAGACACCCACAGACTCACCACACAGAGTCACCCATAGACTCAAGCGGTCGCGTTAGATCACAACCGCTCCACACAAACCCACGATTGCATCCGGCGCGAACTCTCACCGGCTTTGTGTGTCCGTGATGATCCGCGAATCCCAGGGAGAGAATGGTGACGAGGAGTGAGACGAAGAGAGGGGAGAGGCGAGCCATGTTGACGGTCGCTCTACAAACAGAGGAGGGCGTGGGGTTACAGAGGAACACGGGGAGACCCCCTCCCTACCTTGCATCATGCTAAGTCCGCCTATTGAAATGCAAATTGTTGTGCCAATTCCTTTGTCAAGGCACCTTAATTACATTACTCTTTGGTTCTCTTGGGTAAAGTCACGTAGGTGAGAATACAATAACAAAAAATCACGACGTTTCGGCCACAACAGAAGCGGCCCAATAGAACCAAAGAGTATGGATCCTAGCAGTCACGAAAGCTTTAAATCTAGAACCTTAATTACTCTCACACAGCTTAAAGGTCCACGGTCTGAGCTTGGCTGTGTTTCACTCCAGCGCTGATCCTCGAGACAGCCTGGGGTCCCTTCACCTGATGAAGGCCGCTTGTGTTGTGGCCGAAACGTCGTGATTTTTTTATCCTTTTATTTTTTGTTTACCTACGTGGTGACTTTACCGAATAGAAGCAAAGAGTAGAGACGGGGGTATTGTAGCTGTCCTGGTATGAGGAGGCAAGGGGCACAAAGCGTCGCACGACACCCGCTCATCCTCGCAGCCGGCGGCTTTTGGCTGAGCATCGAGCGAAGACGATCAGCGCATCGCGCGCCTTGAGATGCGCCTACTGCGGCCGTCTGGAACGCTCTTCTATCCGATATGGTGGAGGCCACCGGTGCAATGCATTTAAAATCATCGACATTGAAAACGAATTCCTTTAGAAACAGTTTTTTTTTTAGTGTGCTTAGTTTGTTGCATTTCCCCACGTAGCTTGCCAAACAAGTTTCAACGTAAATGCGTAATGCACGTGTCGTGCTGATCTCCACTAAGATCACAGGATGGGCACTGGTACACCTGATACAGATCACGTGGGTAGGACTGCAAATTTAAAAATAATAAAAACTAGCAGCCCGCACGTTCTTTAAACATGACCGCTCGTCCGTCTGTCCCTCCAGCCAGCCATCCAGCCATCAAAACTTATCTTATACGCTTTTTTTATTAACTCACTCTGTCTGTTGTTGTCATCGTTGTTGTCATAGTCGTTGTTGAATCCTCAAATCTTGTAACTCAATGTTAACCCACTTCCCAATGTGGTATCGACTGCAAACTTGCTATACTAATGTCACACTGATGACAATACTAGTTTCTATCATAAAAAAATAAAAAGTATAATTTTAAACAATCTTTTACACGCTTTTCTTTAACTCACTCTGTCTGTTGTTGTTGTTGTTGAATCCTCAAATCTTGTAACTCAATGTTAAACCACTTCCCAATGTGGTATCGACTGCCAACTTGGTATACTTATGCCATACCGATAACAATACTAGATTAAAAATAAAAATTATAATCTTTAAACAATCTCTTACACGCTTTTATTTAACTCACTCTGTTGTTGTATCCTCAAATCTTGTAACTCAATGTTAACCCATTTCCCAATGTGGTATCGACTGCAAACTTGTTATACTTACGTCACACCGATGACAATACTAGATTCTATCATAAAAAATTTAAAAATATATGTTTTTAAACGTTATTTGTTACGTGTTATGTTTCGGATTGGGTCTAATTGTCCACGCTCACGTTGGCTGTGATTGACCACGGCCCCCCTTACGTTGTGGCAAAGCTTCGGGCCCACTTCCTGGAGTCGTGGAGTTCTGCCAATACTAGTTGGTTACATTTCATAAAAGTGTGTTAAAACAAAAATTTACATTACCTATTTAATGGTATGATAGTATGATGTAAAAGTGCTGCATAGAGAGTGGGTTCCACGTTTAACGCGCTAGCAGTAGATGCGTTCCTGAAAAATTCCGTGTTAAGTGAAAATTATTTCCCCACAAACAATGCAACGATTAATTTTGGCGAGATATAACACTCGCTAAGATGTATACGGTGCCACTGCGTTAGTGTATCATTTCGCGTTACCCTATCACTCACAGAGACCCATAGACTCATCACACAGAGACCCAGAGACCCATAGTCTCATCACACAGAGACCAATAGACTCATTATACAGAGACCCATAGTCTCATCACACAGAGACCAATAGACTCATCACACAGACCCATAGACTCACCACACAGAGACCCATAGACTCACTACACAGAGACCCATAGACTCACCACACAGAGAACCATAGACTCACCACACAGACCCATAGACTCATCACACAGACCCATAGACTCATCACACAGAGACCCATAGACTCATCACACAGAGACCCATAGACTCATCACACAGAGACCCATAGACTCATCACACAGAGACCCATAGACTCATCACACAGAGACCCATAGACTCATCACACAGAGACCCATAGACTCATCACACAGACCCATAGACTCATCACACAGACCCATAGACTCATCACACAGAGACCCATAGACTCATCACACAGAGACCCATAGACTCATCACACAGAGACCCATAGACTCATCACACAGACCCATAGACTCATCACACAGAGACCCATAGACTCACCACACAGACCCATAGACTCATCACACAGAGACCCATAGACTCATCACACAGAGACCCATAGACTCATCACACAGAGACCCATAGACTCATCACACAGAGACCCATAGACTCATCACACAGACCCATAGACTCATCACACAGAAACCCATAGACTCATCACACAGAGACCCATAGACTCATAACACAGAGACCCATAGACTCATCACACAGAGACCCATAGACTCATCACACAGAGACCCATAGACTCATCACACAGAGACCCATAGACTCATCACACAGACCCATAGACTCATCACACAGAGACCCATAGACTCATCACACAGAGACCCATAGACTCATCACACAGAGACCCATAGACTCATCACACAGACCCATAGACTCATCACACAGAGACCCATAGACTCACCACACAGACCCATAGACTCATCACACAGAGACCCATAGACTCATCACACAGAGACCCATAGACTCATCACACAGAGACCCATAGACTCATCACACAGAGACCCATAGACTCATCACACAGACCCATAGACTCATCACACAGACCCATAGACTCATCACACAGAGACCCATAGACTCATCACACAGTGACCCACAGACTCATCACACAAAGACCCATAGACTCATCACACAGAGACCCATAGACTCATCACACAGAGACCCATAGACTCATCACACAGCGACCCATAGACTCATCACACAGAGACCCAAACTCCAAATACACAGCAGTCGTCAGGGTTGGAATTGAACCACATCCTCCTTTATTATAGGCGAGGGTGTTAACATCTTCCAGCCACCGCGGGACACCCACAGCTACGACAACCACAGCCAAACCCGCATCCACCAGATCCACAGCTTGAGAATGAAGCACAGGCGACCTTACCAGGTTGATCCCGAGTGAACCTGGCCTTGGATGGACGTTGCCTTTATACACGGGAGAGTTGGGTGGGGTGAGTGAGGGTGGGTGGGGGGGATACGGCGCGTGGGGGGCAGGGTGGGTGGGTTGGACAGGGTGGGTGGGGGGGGAGACTGGGTGGGTGGATGGGGGACTGGGTGGGTGGGTGGCAGAGGGAGATTTGCTGATGGCAGTCATTCTATCGACCGGTGAAAATGAACCAGAGGAGGTTACTGAACAAGTTAACGAAAGTGCTCAAGATAAGTTCAGTTGAGTCTGTTCTCCTATGACGCTGCGCGTTGTTTTCATACCGCGAATTGGACATATATAACGCGATGCATCTATTAGGAAGCTATTTTTTTTTACAACGCGAATTGTATATAGTAACTTAACGTGATCGCGTGAACAGAACTACACCGCGTGAGTGGGAATAAGCGGTCCGTAACGGCTGCCTCATCATCGCACAAGGCATCCGGGGGTGATTCGGGATGCTTCTGAACGCTTCGAGATGCTACCCATGAGCCTCACTCTTTGTTCGGCATCTCGCGTTTTATCAGACACTGTGCTTAACTCCCCTACGCTCTGTGTGATTTATTATAACGCGATTTCTCCCATTCCACCATTGGAACCTCCTTTGCCGGTAGCAAAATATGATCATTGGTTTTTTTTTTACCCTTTAATCTTGCAACAAAACTGGCACCTTTTTTTCTTTTTTGACAAGGAGTCGTGTTCGCATTGACCCACAATACCCGCGGTCGGAACGCGAACAAAAAAAACACAACTCTGATAATGTATTGGCACTGTCCTTGAAATTGATTGGTCCACACCAGGAGACAGCTTTTCTTAAGATCCTCGTCTCACATGGTGTTGGACCAGATGACGCCAAAAGGCGCACAACTCAGGTAACGCCTACCACGTCATGGGATACCTGGCTTACATCAAACCCTCGCAATGCGTGAGTTTTTGCCGATTTGCGAGATCCCCTTTCCCAGAGGCGGTGAGACACGGCCGGATTTTTTGTCCGAGGGTAAATCACCGAAGCACAAATTAGGCACGGGCACGCGCGAGTGACAACCACTTTGCTTCGGCAAACCCCGTGCATTTACGAACGTCTGTAAATCTTCTAACGACTAAGGTACCAAACGTGGGTGCAAGTTTGTAGTAAAGGTTAAGAACCGTTCACCCAGGGCCTACAAGAACCTTGATCCGGCCCTGACTGCGAGACTTGACGACTAAGCGGGCAGCCCTAGGGGCGGCGTGCCGAGTCATCTTCGCCGGCACGACCGTTTCGAACGCAGTGACAACATCCTACACGCAATTCCAAGGCGCCGGTGGCCCGCAGGCACTGCGTAGTACAACTCGCGAACACCCGAGGCCAGCGGGTTTCACGCACAGGGAATCGGTATGCATTTTTGCAACTTGCAGCAAGTTCAGAGAATGCCACTTTGCTTGATTGTTAACCAGAACAGCTGCCGCGCTCTCTCTGGCCCCTCCCCCTCCCCTCAACCTTATTTCCTATTTAAGGCTTCTGTTCATCCCTCCAGCCCCCCCTCTCTCTCTCCTTGCTTCCCTGTCCGTCTTTCCTCCTTCCTTGCCTCTTGTGAGCTTGTATATGTATTTCTACTGACCGTGTACCTCGTATTTTTCATTCTATCTATGCTGGTATGTGCAATCCAAAGGTTGAACACGAAATTTAACACTCTTCTGAAATTCGTGGTCCGCCAGGAAGTGTCTAACTGTGTTGTTGGCCTGACTGGTTGTGCTTCACATGTTTCTTAGGTTTGTTGAATTCTCGTCTCTCATCTTCTTGTTGTATTTACCTCCATGATTTGTTCTTGACACCTGATGAAGATCGCTTGTGTTGCGACCGAAACGTCGTGATTGTTTTGTTTCAATATAATTTTATTGTATTTCTACATACGTGGCTTTACCGAAAAAAACAATGAGCAGAACACCTTCGTCACTTCACATTCTGCCCGTTGTTGGCCTCCCTGCCAAGGTATCCAGTTTCGCGTGGGACACTGTTTAAAATCCTATTGTTAACTTACAAAGTGGTGAACCATCTTAACCCCAGCCGACACCATTGACATGCCCGCACCCGTGCGTCCCCCTCGAGGTCCCTAAGATCTGGGGGGGGTGCAGATCTTCTCTCTGCATTCTCAGGTCAGAGGCTTTTTCGGTCTATGGGTGACCAAGATTGTTTCCCGTGAAGCCCCCATGCTGTGACCCTTGGGCTACACCCATTTCAAACCTTTTAAAACAGTCTGCCTCAGCAGCAGACCCACGCTTTCCCACCTGATGACAGACGCTTGCGTTGCGCCCGAAACGTCGTGATTTATTTTATTTGATACCTAAATGAACAATTTATATTTTTAATTTTTAAAAAAATTACAACAAAATGCTATTTCAAAAAAAAATCTTACAAGTTAAATATAGCTCTCAATACATGGGACATGTGTTGCGACATAGAACAGTAATGTAGGAACATAGCGCTGGCTGCTGGCGGGGAAGGGGATCTGCGGCTTGCAGCAGCCCTGACGTCAGCAGGCCACGTGATACATCAGAGGGGATATCTGGGGGAAAGTTCACAGAAGGGGCACGTGGGGGAAGTCCGGGAACCCGCTGGTAGGTTCTAGAGAGGGGGCGTGGCCGGGGCGGAGCGAGGCCACTCCCCTGGGAGCATAAAAGGGGGCCCTGAGCGAGAGCTCGGGGCTGTCGTGTGGAGTGGGATCCCCCTCGTGCTGTTGAAGATCATCGCCATCGTCGCTGTCGTCTTCCCTCGACATCGCGCCGCTAGACGGTAGTTGGCTGTCTCGGCTCAGCGCCGCCAGTGTTTGGCGGCTAGCGTTGTGTATAGGCTAGCAACCCACGTAGAGCTTGTGTATAAGCGAGCGGCAGAAGAGCGCGCAACAGCGCAGGGTGTGTATTGTTCAAAGGGTTGCTCGGTTAAATGAAAGAAGCGCCTGCGAGTCTCAGCGTCACCGAGTAAGTCACTACATTTCGATTTAAAGCTTTCGTGACTGCAAGGATTCATCTCCTTTGGTTCTTTCGGTAAAGTCACGTAGAATGAGAATAAAATAATAAGCTAAAACAATAAAATTCTCACGACGTTTCGGCCACAACACAAGTATCCATCCTCAGGTGAAGAAACAGGACTGTCCAGAAGACACTCAAGCGCTGTCTTCTGGCATCTTTCAGTTTGAACCTCTCCTCCAATCCCTTCAAACTACCCTTGCCTCCAGACCAATCACCATGGAAGCCTCCCTGCACCAATAGGTCGCCGTAACTTACTTCCCGATAGCATGTTTGGCTGTCCTTTTGCTTGGGGTGAGTGTTGTAGAACTACGGTCATTACACATGCGTTGTGCAATAGCGACTGTGGTGGGCAGACAGCGCGCACGCCGCTGAGGTCGTGTTGGCAGAGCGGAAGAACTTGGGCAATGCTCACGGAGGACCCCACCTGGAGGCCCATGGAACCCGCTAATGGATTCACGAAGGGAAGGCGCGGTCAGGGGTGCGCTGGGAGCATAAAAGGAGCCGAGAGCGGGGAGCTCGAGGCTGCCGGTTCTGGGGAATGGACTCGTCTCGTCGTCGCTAAACGTCTCCGCTAGATATTGCGCTGCAAGGCAGTAGTTGGCCATCTCAGTCAGCGCCGTCAGTGTTAGACGGCCGGTGTTGTGCACAGGCCGGGCTGAGCTACTGCGGAGAGTGTGCGGACGAGACCGTGGAAGTTGTTTAATAAAGAAGGTGCCTCCTACAAGCTCTGTCTCCGAATCAGTGACACTACGCATGTTTACAATGCAATATAGACAGTACTCAGTGTCAGATTTATTTAGTGGCATGTTACATAAACATTCTAAAAATGTATTTCAACATTTTTAATACAAACCTTTAATGACTGAAATTTGGCGATAACTAACTAAACTTTAACATAAGTATATTTTTAAACCGCTTGCCTGGCGAAGACAGGCTTTGTGAACTAGTATACAATAATATGTAAGACTATAACTATAAAGTGCCGAGAAAAATTTTGCAAACCCCAATGGTAATCATGGAAATGCCATCGTTTTACCAAGATAGCCTTCTTAAATTGAAACCGGTCTTAAATATCCAATAGGGTTTATATTAATTAATTTCATGTCTTTTGAAACAAAATGATGTATGAAGTAAACCAGGAGTGGAGAACCTTTTTTCTGCCAAGGGTCATTTGGATATTAATAACATCATTCACGGGCCATACTAAATTATCAACTTAAATATTAGCCCGTTATATTTGGTCAAACATTTAATTAACTCACCCCTAATGTGATGGCTGGAACTGCTTCTCTTTGGTGAGGCGTGTGATGATGTTTGCTGGTATTGATGATGTTAGCTAGTATTGATGATGTTGCTACTCGCAACTGCTTTTCCAGGTTTGCTCCTAGCTTTATTGAATTTAGAGTCACGCCTGCAATTGCCTTGGCAGGACCAGACTAAATGATTTTGCGGGCTTTATACGGCCCGCGGGCCTACGTTCCCCACCCCTGAAGTAAATAATGAGTAATAAAGGTTCAGGGTATGTGGTTTCATTAGCTCAATTAAGGGACTAATTAAAATCAGGTGTTCAAATAATTAGGTTGATCTTCTGGGGTGAGTTTTGGAGGCCCCTGCCCTCTATAAAGATCACAACATTCGTGAGTTTAGTCTTCACCATACCGGTCTGGGGAAGCAAGTCATGCCAGGATCAAAATAAACAATTCCTAAGGATTTGGGGCTCCACCAGTCCTCTGTCAGACAGATAGTCTACAATTGGAGAAAGTTCACGACCACTGTCACTCCACTCAGGAGCGGTCATCCGACCAAAATCTCTCCGAGAACAAACCGCACAATAATCAAGGAAGTCACAAATAGCCCCAGAGAAACACCCAAGGAGCTGCAGGCCACTCGCGCCAATGTGAGTGTTCATGACTCAACAATCAGAAAAAGACTGAGCAACAATGGGGGTTCATGGAAGGATATCAAGGAGGACAC